GGATGCTGAACTTGAGGAGATGCTTTGCCAGCAGCTGCTGCTTGGCTCGCAGAACAGCTGTCAGACCTTCTGCTGAATTAGTAAAGCTGAGGCCTTTTGACGATGAGGAGCTGGAAGACACCGGAGAAAGGCTGCTGGCCATACGCCGCAGCCAAGAGCTCCTCGGAAGCAAGGAGACAAAGGAGACGGAGGGTGCACCAAACTGCCCACGCTCTTCCTCGTCCCCAGGAACAGACTCAACTTCCCGGCAGAGTGCCCGCCTGAGGGCAAGGCTTTTATTGCCAAATTATTGCGGAAACTTCCGCTGCGACTAGGAGCTCAGGCGGGAGTGTATGGGCATGTGAATGCCTGTGGACCCCAACCCCGAAAGTTCCCAACCGAACCATCTAAGAACCATCTCCCTGCGCAGGGTGGCGCTGAAGAAGTGCGCGGGCACTATTTCTTCAAAGGCTCGGTAACGCTCGACTGTAGAAGAGATTTGGTCGAGTGGCATTCACCGTGATTTTGGCTCCCAGATTTCGATTTCACGGCCCTGGAGAAGCAGACGCTGCAGAGTCCTGTTGAGAGGAGCGGGCAGCAGAAGAGAGATGTCAGTTAAGAACTGATATTTCCTGCGTGGCAGGCCATGGAAGGGCTCAAAAACAACTGAGCCTGCAGCCTGCCTGCAATTGGAGCGTGCCGGACCGACGTTTTGCAATGCTTGGGCCCCGGCTGAGGAGGTTGCTTCCCCGTGGATTCGGGGCCCAGAGCACCTGGCACCCGGGGAGGACGAGATCTTTGAGAGCTACGAGGACGACGGCAGCCAGTGGGACCAGGAGTTTTAGATAGCTTTGCTAGCATTTTCCACACTTTCTGATTCGACGTCCTCCATTTTACAAAGCTTGGAGCTCTGGACAATTTTAAACATGACTGACCAGAGACTAGACGGCAGCGCTGCCCAAACATGTGTCACAAGCTGGAGCTGGGTAGAAGTGTCTTCCCATCGAGCACTTCGTCTTCAGATCCGTGTTGCCTTGCCCAGCTCTGCACAACTTCGGAGGGGACGAATCCAAAATTGGCTTCACCGTTCCACCCTCCCACGCGACAGTCCTGATGTGACGGTCTTGTTTCGCACATCCAAGAGTTTAAGCTTTCGAGCTTGTTTGTGCCACATGAAAAGAGACTGCAGGCATCAAGTGATTCCGCTGCCTCTTGACAGAAGCTTGCTGAGGCTTCTGAAGACCTTGCTGCGCAGAAGCAATCCTATGGCCACTCGGCCAGAAGGCGTACAGCGAACATGTGCCGAGTACTCCAAACAGCACACGCCAAGGCCTATGCACAGATGGGCGAAGGTCTATCGCACCTGTGCATGAGTTAGCCCTAATGCAACAGATGTTCAGAAGGATCACCGTTTCGACACCTTGCCCTGTGCAGGAGATTCTCGACTCCAGGGCCAGGCACCGATCAACGAGGCCGAGCGACGTGTAGCGACGCTTAATTGTACTCGACCTGGAATCAGGGGCTTACTCCGACGACTCTTGGTGTTCTCAGTGAGCCTCACGCGGAAAAGGCCTCGGCACTGCCTGATGGCATTTGAAAAAGGGCGCTGGACAGGCTTTGACTTCTGTTTGCAGTGTTGTTCAACCATGATGCCAGGATGCCTTTCTTATTCTGACATGAAAGCCTTTCAAGTCTGGCTGTACGAGCTCAGAGAGTTAGAGAGTTTGGCTCGAGGCTTGCACTGAGCGAACCCCGTCAGTCCAGCGACAGCCAGTTCTTTTGGCGATGAGTTGGCAGTTCACTTCCACGAAGCACAAACAAACAGCCACAAACATGAACCGTTAGCACAAGACCTTTGAAGGATCGCAATGAGCGCTCGAAATTGTTGTTGATCGTCATGACTGTTGCTCGGGACGATTCTTATTGAACCCCGTCTGTTTGTCCCTGCTGCGTGGAGGCAACTATCTGTTCTTATCTGGCATACTGTGCTCATTTCAACAGTGCCATGGAGCCAGAAGGGGGATTCATGGACGAATCCGACGACGAGGCAGGCGGCAGTCCTGGTCAATGTGAGGCAACGTAGGTCTCCCAGCCTGCAATGAGCCGAGATGCCACAGGTTTTTTTCTGCCTTCGCGACAATGCTGGCAGCTGAGGCCGCTAGCAGTTTTGCAGCCATTTCACGTGCTTTTCCTTTATCAAGTGGTACCGGTAGCCCATGATGATCTCCGCCCCGCACTTACTCCCCCAATAGCACCCCTCCTCAATCAGGGTACAGTTCTCGCATTGCATTTTTCCCGGACAGCCGCGGCAGCCAGCAACAGTAGCAGCAGCAATTCGTGCTCATGTACTGTTTTTGAGACATCCTTACATGGTAGTTTGACGGACCCAAATAAAGTTAGCAGAAGGCATGCCTATTGCGAAGTGGTTTTGCAACCCATACCCCCCACACACCAAAACCCTATTTGTCATTCATGTTTGACATATCCTAACTCATACCCTCATTCATTATCATGATTTTCTCCAAAAACTCACCTCGCACCTTATTCATTTTCAAACCTTCATTTTTCAAAAAAAATCTCAGTTTTTGGATAGTACAAATTTCAAGTTCACATATTGGTAGTATCTCAACGAATTTGAAACTCTCCATTTTTTGCCATATCGCCTTTTTTGACCTGCGTAAGCCTTTGTTCGAAGCCGTCAGCACCAGCAGCTCTCAGTTGGTGTTGCTTAGTAGGCTTATGAACTATCTTAATCCATTCCCTTCTATTGAGAGCGCGGGGTTGAATTCTGCGATACAAAGTAGTGTTGTCCATCCACATGAGGGACGGGGATACATGAGTTAGCCGAACGTGGGAGGCGTTAGGGATTTGAAAAAAGGAGTTATCGATATCAGTATGCATAGGAGTTTGGTCAGAGGTCAAATGAAAGCGCCATGAGCGGTTCAAACCTTGTAGTGTATCCCTTGCTGAGCTATGACTCAACTGCAACCGGCATTGCGTATTCTTGCTGTCATTAGGGAACAGCTTACTGAAGCCCTGCTAGATGAGGGTATATCAGAGGAATGCATTAGCCAAATGGACAGTTTGGCCGTGCAGTTCTGGACGCATTCAACATTGGATGTGGTTTTTGCAGAAGCAAGAGACATACTTCCAAGACATCGATTTCTTAAGGTATTGACCTTCACGAACAGGGAATACAGCTTGGTGTACACAGCACTGCCTGAGAATATGCGGAGCGCTGCCTGTATTGAGCACAACACCGTACATGGCAGTCAATAGCTGTACAGCAAACTGGGGATACATTGAAGAGGCTGGGAAGCCAATCAACAGATTGCTTAGCGCAACGCCCAGCCAGAGCTCATCCCGGTCCCGAGTCCGGGCTCCATCCAGAACACCTATTAAAGATGCTGGCCTCCTGGGCGGAGGTGCGATAGATTGGATGGAGGGCGTGAGGGTTGGCCGTTCTACCTCGAGACGGCTGGGAGTCCATAGGACAAAATTAGGGGAGCTGAAGCGGCAGCAAGCGGCAGCAACAACTAGCTATCAGCAGAGATCCTACTGGAGGAAAAAAGGCATGGAAAAAGGCAAGAAGGAGAGCAGCACAGGTTGGAATTTCAGCTTACAAGGGCAGACTGGTTCATGGTTCGACAGGCCCAGCGGAGAAAATCAAAAAGCAAGAAGACACACCTGCCTCGGGACCTAGGTGCAGACTAGTCTCCTGGAACGCGGGAGGACTCTCCGATACAGTCAACGCTGAGCTGGCGGAACTCTGCCAAGGAGAGCAAGCGCCGGACATCCTGAACATACAAGAAACACTGGAACTTTTATGGAACGTGGATGCGAAACGGCTGGACCTATTTCCACTCCTCGCTGTCCAAGTGCAGCCCGGGGGGGGTCATGACTGCCGCTCCAGCTTGCTCGATCATGCTTCTGCACCTTGGTATGAAGTGGTCCCAGGTAGACTTCTTTGGGACAGAGCCACCATCAGAGGGCAACAATGGGATATTCTGGCATGGACGGTGAAACCAAGAAGTGTCGGCTTCAGGAAAGAAAAGCTATCTGGAATAAGCTGGACAAGCTGATTCATAGTATTCCTGTGCGATCAATGTGGGTTGTCTGTGGACCTCTGCAAGCGCTGCTTTTTACAGGGGGAACAGCGCCAGCCGCCAGAGCCCATCAAGGCCGACTCCTCGTCCTCGGACTCGTCCGACTCCAGCTCGAGGGGCAGTTTGGGGAGACTGGAAAAGGATGCACCTGCCACTGCGCTACACAGCTGATTCCGCCTAAGTTGTAGCAAGCGGGCGACGACCCCGTGCACCGGGGCCCATCGGGGCAGATGCACGGGCCAGGGCAATTGGGTGCCCAGCCCACGGTCTGCGCGAGGCCCTTTACGCGGTGAGGGCGACTGCCCCATTTTGCGGGCGGCTCTGGCCAGCCTTGGCGTACACTCCGCTGCTGATCTGGCGGAGGCTGCCCAAGACCACACCACGCTTCGCCTCGAGGTGCTGGACGTGGTCGCCGGGGCAACTGCCACAACGGGCGTTTGATTGGTGGATGCTCTTCCGGATTGGAGACGCCGCCTCAGCGTGGGGTACGAGGGCCCGCTGGCCATGACGGCTCTGCCCAGGAAAAGAAGGCTCGCTGTGTGCGACTGGCGCAGAAATGCCAGAACCCCTGCGTGCTGGTTGCCTCATATGTTGCACCTTAGACCACTATTGTTCAAGCTCTCTGTCGCCTTGTAGTCGCCGCCATGACACCGGCAACGCTGGAGCCAGCAACCTCTCCTCCGCCCCCGGGCGACGGCTACAACGCCACCTGCAGCGGCCTCGGCGCTGCCAACAGTGGCGGGGGCGCTCATCATTGTCATGGGCATGCGCTCCGGGCGCACTGTCGAGATCACCGGAGATTCGCTCTGCAGGAGGCCCTGGCGATGCCATCCCTGGAGAAGCGCCAGAAGCCCAAGAAAACGCCCAAAAGTGGGCCAGAACCAAGCGATCAGCCCAAGGGCCGCGGCTGCGGCACTGGCGGCAACGAGTCCCAGGAAGACTGGGGCGATTGGACATGGCCAGTCCAATTAAAACCAAAACCAAAAGCAAAACTCTAAGAAGAGCGACTGCCTGGAAAGGGCGCAAAGCGCTAGGGAGGAGGGGGCCCGACGCCCAAAAGGGCGAGACACTCCACTTAGCCTGTCGCACATCATCCTACTGACCGCCTTCAACGGGATCCGGCGCCCTACCTCTTGGATAAACGCTTTGGCCGGCCGCGCCTTGCCCTGGCGTGGGAGATTGACCAAGACTGCAACAGGCATGAATAAGAACGACCCCAAGCAGGTGGCCGCCTTGACCCATAAGGCGGACCCCGAGTGTTTCGGTCGTCTTCGAGGCGGGCCACGACCTCCTCAATGCCTACCGCCAGTGGCCCGTCAAGGAACCCGCCCATAGCGGCACCATCCTGCGCACCGCCTCCGGACCAACCTTATGGTTCCACTTCGCCATGTGCTTTGAGGCGGCCGCCTCCATCTGGAACTTTAACGGAGCCAGTTCCTGACACGGGCCCTCCTCTTCATCGTGGGCGGCCACTACGTGGATGACTTCAATGGCGTGGACGCCGACGACCTGGCGGACTCCGCCTTCCACGGCTTCTCCGACTTCTTCTTCAAGCTCATTACGCCTACGCGCCAAGCCGTCCAAAGCCCAGGAGCCTTGGTGGACACATGTCATACAGGGCGTTCAAGCATCCTTCTCCGACCAGGGCGCCGCGCGGCCAAACGCTTCAAAAAGATCCTGGCCATCATCGGCCAGATCTTGAACACGGAGAGCCTCACCTCAGACACCGCCCACAGATT